TTCTTGCTGAAAACTAAGTCCTTTTGAGAATCTGACTGTTAAGGTGTCACCATGGGAGTTAGCAGAAGCATTGAGCACTTGAGAAAAGCAGACCTGAGTTTCATTGCCTGAAGGTATGCTTACCTAGAGTTTCTTCCTTAGGATAAGACTTCAAGAGAAAGTGGCTCTAACATCGTGGGTTGCTTCTTTCTCCTTTCTCTCCCCTCTCCCCACCCCTGGCCCCTTCTCACTCTTCACTCAGACAGTTCAGCTCACTGAACCACTAGAAAACTATTCACATTTTTTCACCAGTTGGGTTTTCAATGCTGTGGTGGACTATTTCAAAGTAGTGCTGAGCCTGACACAAAGGACGTAGTGCACAGGAAGGAGAGGTGGTGTGAGGGAAACCCTGCAAGATCAGCTCATCCATCCAACCAAAAGCCACAGGATGCTCCCAGCACACCATCTGCAGCTGAATGGGCTCCCAAACCCTCACAAACCAGCTACTGAGAGGGGTGGCTGCAGTGCCTTTGGTAGCACCTGGACCACTCTGAAAAGATGGTATAGATTATGGGTGCTTGAAATCTTTTGAAAAGATTTCAGAGAAAGAGAGGAACTGCTAGAGAAAGAAGGAAGGTGTCAAGTCAAGTTGGCCTAATTCCACTTTAAAATCATATTGTAGCCACTTATGTACAATACAGACACTATTTTGTTTCCCTTCTCTCGGTAGCTGTGGACTTGAGGGCAGATCAATTGTTTTGTATCTTTAAATTCACACAGAACCAAAAGAATGATTTTTCCATTTACTTTCTAGATGCCTTATTTTAATGAAAGATGCGAACACCCCACAGCGACTTCATTCTAGCTAAACAAAAGCAACTCCTGTCTTACGAACAAGACCAGCAAATTAGAAGTTGAGTCTTCTTTTTCCATCAGTTTACCACTATTTTAATCCTCCTCCCCATCTTTTCAAATCCTTGAGGGAAGCAGATGAGCTTTAAGCATGCCCCAAAGGTCGCTGCAGATGTGTGTTTGTACATATACATTCACTGGAACCTTTGCACTTTGCTAATCTGTGCGGGTCATGTCGAGCATACAAACCCCAGCCACCTCTCTCCTCAGCAAAGATTTACTGGTCTATGCACAGTGAAGACACTATTGTTGAGACTACATTGACCTCTTGAAATGTATTATAGAATATTCACTCATCTTCTGTGAAGTATTGTCGTAAATAAACTGAGTCACATCGATGAATGAAGTACATTTCGTGTCATAATACATAAATTCATTTGCTTCACAAATTGCAGGACACTATAACCAGCTGACTCATTGAAAAATACAATACAGTTTTGGAAGATAAGCTGCTAAGTAAAAAATTGTATATTACACACATGGATACTAAGTTGCTAAAAATACTGCACATATCAAAGTACTATCTGTGTAGTAATTGCAAAGCCACAGATTAATCATTTTATCGTGCACCTTTGCCTTCCTGTGTTTGCTATTCACTATGGGTTCAATCTAATTCCTGAATACTTCATCAGCATTGGAGCTTTGTACTTATGAAAAGAAAGTGAAATTTTGGCTGTGATGGAAATCAGTGAGAAAATGCAGCTGAATTTAAGGGGACCAAAATGCGAGTGAGTCCTGAAAAGTCCTAAAGTACAACACCTAAAACTGAAAAAATTCAAACCCGCTAGAGGATTAAAGAGCATAATCCCCTACATTTCAAAGGGGAAAAATGTACATACATATTGTGATATCCGTGTAATGACATTTTGAATCCTACAGTAAAATATTGCCTGATTTGTTTTCTTTATGCTACAACTTGACAATTTTCTTGGATTTGCCAACTGAAGTCCTGAAAGTACTTCTGCTAGTGTCTATTTTTCACTTATGTGTCTAATCCTCCTGAATTTTTAGGATCTAGTTGTTGTTGTAAAGTAGAGTACATGCATAGGAAGAAGGTCTAAGCATCATGAGATCACCAGCAAAAGCTTTGTAGCACTGAAAGGGGGAGAAGTTGAGGATAGGATGCTCAAATATTGGGAGAGGTTGTCAAGAGAGATTGTGGTGTCTTCATCCTCAGAAATATCTAACTCCATGGGCAGCCCACTGCAGCTGATACTGCTCTGAGGTGGTGGGGCTGAATTAGACAACCTCCAGAGGTGCCTGCCCACCTCAGCCACACTGTGGCTGTGTAATCTATGTGCACCCAAGAGCCAGAATAAGATTGGCATTTTGTGTGCTAAAAATTGCTGCATTGTTACACACAGCAAAATAATGTGATGAGAATGCTGTAGCATACGTTGTAATGCTTCTCTTCTTTGAAAGTCAGCGTTTGATATGTGACTGTTAGAAAGCAGTATTTTTTTAAAAGTCAGTGCAGTCTCTCAAATGCATTTCTTGGGCTTTTTAGATCTCTCTTTTCTTAATGCACTCAAATGCTAAGCACCATTCCAAATTCATGTCAATATATCTATTGACATCTTTCTTGCTGTTTTCCTCTTCTTCTATTCTCTGTGGTATCAGTCTTGCCAACCGCTCCTGAGATCTTTGGTTATGATCTAGCAAAGCCCTTAAGCACATGCTTAACTTTTAAGAATGCAAACAGTCTTTGTGAATTCAGCAGGACATTTCCTTTAGCTGCTTTGCTGGGCGGGGGCCAAAGTGCTCAGTGCTCTATATACAGATCGAAATATAATAATTCACACACAGTTAGTTAGAAAAATCACTGCAGAGTGTAGAATAAATTGGAACAGATTTTTCCCAGCCCTTTCACAGAATTTGGCCATGAAACGCTGCAAAATTCTACCAGTTCTGAATATAGTTTATAAATTAACGGAATTCAATTCATCAACGTATGTCATGGAAAATATCTGTTTTATACACAAAGTTACTTTCACATGCACATTTTCTCTCTCACGCACATACACACACACATACGAGATCTAAGCCTACTTGACTGCACTGCAGACTCTATGTCTTATAAGCTGTATTCCTCATCAAATGTTATAACTTAGAGCTTCTCCCAAGGTTCAAAAAAATCCACACAAACTGCTAAGTAGAAGTTCATGATAATACAAAGTTCTTAAAGAACATCGAGGAGAGAGTTGTGTGTAAGTTCAATAGCAGTCTGCAGGTAAGTGCAAACAATGCGGAGATGCAAACACGAGACCAGCCTAGCTGGGTCAGATCAAAGGTCTATGTTCTTGTTCTACCAGGTGCCCAGATAAGGGCACAAGAACAGGGTAAATATATCATGGCATTGATATATCCCAAGTTTTTTTTTTTTTCCTTCCAGCAATTCCTTCCTGTTGTTTCCAGCAAACTGTGACTCACGTCTTCCCAAGCTAGAGGTGGTGCACCAATGTTTACTACTACTTCCTTTACTTTACTTTACTTTACTTTACTTTACTTTACTTTACTTTATTTTATTTTATTTTATTTTATTTTATTTTATTTTATTTTATTTTATTTTATTTTATTTTATTTTATTTTATCTCTTTATTAATCTGTGTAAACTTCTGGCATTCACAAAATCCTGTGGCAAGGAGTTTCACAACATGACCAAGTCTGTGAAAGAGTACTACCAAACACTTGCCATTTGTTTTGAATGTGCCACTTGATTGCTTCCTCCCATGGATGAACTAAAGGCAGCAAAAGACACAGTCATTCTTTACTCACTTTCCCTGTGCCGTTCATGATTTCATATTCTACTCTAATATCCCTCCTTTGCCAGCTCTTTTCTTAGCTGAAAATTCCTCCCGCATTTAATCATTCCCTGTAAGATTCTTTGTACTAAGGAAGAGCTGAGGTGCTATAGGAGGCAAGCTGTCTGCTTCAACAAGGTGTTTTTAGGGGAATTTGAACTCCCAGACTAATGAGACCTGGACCAAGACATTTTTTAAGTTGTGATTACTTAAACTTTTGCATTGTGGTAATGAACAGCTCCTCATGCATCTCCTATAGCCTGTATGCAGCTAGCTGCGAACTGTAAAATAATGTCATATAGGAATGGCAAAAGTGAGCCATCCTTTCTTTTTACTGCTAAAGTGAGAGAGACATTAAGTGGAAAAAAAAATCTCAAAGTTGTTTGTGCGAAGTGTTCTGCTGGTCCTGAGAGCTATTGTCTCTCTTTGTATCATTGGAGGTATAGCAGTGGAAGATTGAATGGTGGAGGTGAGGCCAGTTCTTCCTCAATATGTTTACTTCCAACTTGCTTTGTGGGTTTTTGTGTGGTCTGTGTGTGTGTTGTCTGTTAGCTCATTGTATAATACCCTCGGATTTAGGCAGAAGAACTAGCCAACAAACAACACAAAGATTGGATTATACATTCTAATGAGCTATCAAAAACAAAATAAGCAAAGAAACAAACAGGCAAACAAAACCCAGCTTTTTTGTGTCATGCTAAAATTCCTGTTAGCAGAGTACTGTTCATATTCGAGACTGCAAGATTATCTCCACCTCCAATAGCTGATATTCAGATATTCTTCCAGATGGGTCTTTTCTTCTGACCAAGGCAGTTGTTGTTAACCTGCCTTGATTTCCCATAAGCAGTTCTTACTATTTCATTTTAGTTCCTGCAGCACTGGTTCAAGTCTGCAAGTCCTAAATCTTGTATCTCTGCTATAATGATTTTAGACCACGAGATGTGTCACTAAAACACCCACAAGAATTGAAGATAATGCACTGATTTTATTTGCAAGCGCTTTACCTTATGAACCTCGGTTCATATTAAAGTGGAATGAAATCTTGGCTTCATGAGCGCCAGCAGCAAAGCTCACATTGACATCAAGGATTTTGGGAATCTACTGACTCCTTCTGCCCTGCCAAGTGCTGCAAATCTGTCTGTGCTGATGTCTTAAATGAGACCTGAGGCAGAAACACAAGGATTGAACCTGAGATAGAAATGCAAGGGCTCAACCTAAAAACTTGATGCTTCTCTGTGAGAGTCTGTAACTTACATTGTGTCTCCTAATGGACATTCTTTCTCTCTCTCTCTCTCTCTCTTTTTTTTTTTTTTTTTTTTTTTTCTTGGCTGCTTTTGAGCATTTCTGATGGGCCCCAGCAGAGTGAGCACTGGCTGTGCATCCAAATGTAGCAGGTACAGTGCATCTGCACGCTGCACTGGGATGTTAATGAATGTTGGCAGCAGGAGATTGGCAAAGGAAGAGTCCTGTAAGAAAAGCCTTTTCTTTAAAAAAGTTCTTTTGTGTCCCATGGCTGGGGAACAGAGTTTAGTGCATGTCCAATAGGTTGCAGACTGACTTTTCATCACTGTGACTGTGAATTTATGTCCTATTGTCCAAAGTGTTGGTATAAACCTTGCACAACAGTCTGGAAGTGCCAGGTCTCCAGAGCATGGGCTCTGAGGTACACCTCGTATCTGCTCTGCCTTTTTCCACAGCCAGGAGTCCAGCTTAATACATGTGACTGAACCCAAGTCTCTGGGATGTGTGTCTGCTGTCCCACGTGAATAACAAAATTCCATCAGCTTTTTTTGTAGGGTTTGCTTTCATGCCCTTCATTAAAACATTAACGGTGTTGCTCTCCTCTGTTCTAGCTGTGGCTGGCTTCCTTTGTACATTCCTCCTGCACAAGATGGTGTACTACAAATGTGTATTGAGCAGTAGGACAGATCACCTCCAAGGTAACAGTGGGGGGCATGGATACAGTTCCTGCATGATTCCAGGCCAGGCCAGACTTGGTGTGATTAACTAACATTAGCACTTGAAGCTCAGACAATGGCGTATTAGAAGTATGTGGGTGGTTTCAATCCATTTCCCAGTGGGCAAGTGTCTGCATGACAAAAGCACCGCTAGAATCAGCACTAGGCAGCACTTTGGCTGCTTACCCAGTGAAACTGATGAAAATGAACCCAAGAAAGGGATGCTCAAAGGAACCCAAGACAGGGATGCTCTCCTGTTTCTAGGAAAACGTTTCAAGGATGGGTTTGTGACAAACTGATGGGGAAGTCCTGCTGCTTGGCCTTTCTTGCTAAGATGTTAAGATGTCACCATTGCCAAAAGATGTGTTTCACCCCTGACAAGGTACAGTGTTTGGTTGCAAGGTATGGTGCTGTTTACACATGTATGTGCACAGCTGTGAGCTGAGTTGTGCTGCACTGTCAATGCCATATCACTCACTGTATGGTCTTCTGAACTCTCCATCTAGCATTTTACTTCTGAACAGGCAAAAAAAAATGGGCACATTTTAATCACAGAGCTCTATTTTCTTAGAGGTAGCTCCTTCCACAAAGATGCAGTCTATGAAATCCTTTAGTCACAAGAAATAAAGCCAATGATTGATTTGTATTCTACAATGTACCCTCTGGCTAAAACCAAGTTATAAGTACCAAATGGTTGAGACGGGGCTTGTGAAAGGGCAGTTATGTGAGTGGCACTAGAAGGAAAATGTTAATAAAGGGCAGTCCATTGAACGAAGGTTAAATACTTTCATACTTCTCAGCCAACCCAGAAATGTCCCTGAATTCTCATTAAAAAGCGCTCTTCATAATCTGCTATTTTACCTCATTAAGGAAGGGGAATCTTGAGGATCAAGAAATATCACTTCATTGAGGAGAAATAAAGGTAACAGGGATATAAGTTTAAAAAGATTCTGTATTCTTTTTGATTTCCTTACGCATTTGGCTTGCCTGTTTATTCTTTTGTCTGTACTTTATTTTATTTTTAATTTTTATTGTTTATTTATTTATTTTTAGTGAGCGAACTCAGAGAAGTTTGGAGGCTTGTCCCTAACCACATGCTGGCTCTATGGTTCCCCTGAGGCAGAGCCAAGTCAAGAGTGCAGCCAGTCATCCCTCAGACCGCTGCCACGGTGAGTCCCAGCCTTATGGCCAACCCTGCTCATCTTCCCTCTCCTACCCCACTGCCCTCCACAGTGCCCCATGGGAACAGACAGAGCCTCGTCCCAATAAGTTTTGAGGCTTTGGGGTTCTCCAGACTGGCCTGTAAGTCTTGAAAGGAAAAAAAATACCAATATGTTGGAAAATTAACTTAAAAAAAGCATGTGGGTGTTGTGTCATGGCTTAAGGTTGTTTTGATGTCATCAGGTCTAGCCAACTGAGAGGTAGCTTGCAGGAGTTTATACTAAGCCCCCAGAACAAAGCTTGATATTAATCTGTGTGCTTCGCTGATGGCAGTTTGGATCTGTGCTTCAGTTTATCCTGCAGTTGTGCTAGTTTTTAGTTGTGCCCCTCAAGACAACATGAGCTTTGGAACACCTTCAGGATGCTAACACCTAACCTCTGGTTTAGGCCTGTAGAATGTCCCAGTAAAGTTTGCTTTGTATTATCATTTGCCAAAAAAATGACATTTTTGATAAAAATGGTGTGAATTAACAGGTTGAGACTAGCATAAGGATGCAGGTGTGCTCAGCAGACGCCTTACAAATGACAGTGGGATGCATCTGAATGGAGATACCCAGTCAGGGTCCTGCAGAGCATTGGCCTGACATACCTGATACATGACTGACCTCCAGGAAACTAGTGCAGGGATGGTGCCTTCCTCCCTAAAATGTGGTGTCACACCTGTGACAAGAGCTCTCTCCTGCATTAGAGTACCACACATACCTTGATTTCAATTTATATAAAATATAAGCCAACATTTTCTTTACATTTAAAATTAGGATAAAAGAGCATTTTCATAAGTGCATGACCTTAATACTCATTTAGTTACAGCTGGCACATTTGTAAGCCAGGGCACATTTAATTTTGGACTTTTCTATATAGAAAGTTTAACCTTTTTGTGGGGGGGCAAATGCTAGATTTCAAACGAGTCTGTCTGTATTGACTGAATAGTGTTTTTTCTGCTGCAGAAATGCTTAATCTGAGAAAACTCAGATCTGAAAACCTCTTGGTTTGTTCAGATATTTAACAAATTCAGCAAGTGGGAAAATTAATCTTTGAATAGAAGAAACAGTCTGACAAAATAAGCCATAAAAGTAGGCGCCAGGTGTCGTAAGGAAGTTCTTCATGCAGCAGTTGCTTAATGTATACTCAAAATGCATCCACTTTTGTTCGAAGATCCAACAAAACAGATGAAATTGGGTTACACCAATTCTCTTGATCTATGAATCTTCCACTGTGTCAAAGATAATACACCAAACAAACCTACATGTAAATGGTGTGATAAAATGATCTACTGTATACATTATCATCCATTAATATTGCTGGGGCTAATGCATTTCATCTGTCATACACTTTGTTTTATATTATCCCCACCTTAGTGAAAAATACCATAAAAACTGCTGGGCTGACAGTCATGCAGACTACCCGCTGGAAAGCTAAAGTCCAAGGACATGATTCCTGTTGCAGTTTCACCCAGAGCTGCCTGTGAAGGAGACATGCATGGTCTTGTTGTCAAGAAATGTGGGCTCTGCTCCGGACATCACTACTGTCCCATGAGCAAGTTCCCTTATTTCTTGATGCTTGCCTTCCTCTTCCATTCATAAGCTGTCCTGTCTCTTATTTGTAAATCAGTTGAGTTCCATGTGCTTTTACAGTACCTAATATAAGGCACCCCACACCTGGTGAAAGTCTCTAGGCTCTATAGTATAGCATAGTAAGACAAAAATAGCAATTCATAATAAGATGAGAGACTCTGAGATCACTCTGACCTTGAATTCTCTGCTGTCTTTTAACAGGAAGAGGGTGAAATTGGACTGAAACAGCCCCCTCATTTTATGTAGAGCCACCAATGACCCAGGCTGCATTTGAACCACAGCCCTAGAGGCAAAAGGCTTTGCGTCTCATTGCCAATTCACAGCAAGAACATAACTTGAGCCCACACACTAATGCTAAGCAAGGACTGAGTGTTTCTAATCCTTATTCACACATCTACACCTATTAAAATCACATGTGTGAAGATTTGCAGGACTTGTTCCTTTATTGTAAAGACCAGCCCTTTCAAAACATGTTCTTAAATCAAATGAAAAATTGAATTATCTGCCAAAAAGAGACATAAAGACAAATGCAAGAAGAATATGTGGCTTTCTTTCTCAGACATATTGTGCTGAATAGCGTTGTTTGGCTTAAACTGAAATGTTATGTTTTGAGAAGGCTGAGAAGAATGTTTAGCTATAATGGTCTTAAAGGCTCATTATCACAGGTACAGCACTATATTCTCCAATTCACTCTTATTACCAGAAAAGACACCTCTGCACAGGCTGTCTGGATGGTGTCCCTCCCACTGGAACGCTTGCCCTTCTCTTGAGCTGCATAATGTGCAGAGGGCAGGATTATCTGACTCACTAACCAGCCTTACTGGCCCACACGGTTCCAGGATGCTGGGGAAAATCTATTTGGATAAGATCTTTCAGATTCTGACTTTCAGTGACCCTGTGACAGAGCAAGGCAGAAAGCTGCTTCTATTTAAAATGCCAGATAGTTACTTCCAGTGGCTAACAGATTTCCCCTTCCCCAAAAGAATTTATAAGCTTGCATTGTATAGTTCTTTTTTTCTTCATGTAAATTGTGAGTGTTAGTCTTGAAAACCTTAAATAATCCTCATGAAAGACCATTATGTCCCTCCTGATGCTTGCGTCCCCATGCACCAGGCATTTCAGGGAGACTAGTTGCAGTGGCAGAAGACAAGAGACTTCTTTAAAAGGCAAGCTTCTCTGATTTTTTTCAGCCCACACTGGCAGCCAGGAGTGACTGATGGAAGATGCTTGTCCAATGCTTTTGTGAGCTCATGGCCTGTGAGTTAGAACCTCAATTGGTTGTGTTATCATTTTGAGTTGCATTCTGTGATCATGCAGAATAAGTTCCTTTATTTTGGCTTGCACACCATACTGGTTTTTCCATGATGCTGATGGGAAGTTACCACAGGTAAATCACACCTGTCTGGAAGCTGGCCAGTCTAAAATGCAAAATGCCAAAATTTCATCTCCCAAACTCTCTGCACCCCTAATTCCAGTCTTACTTCTTTCCCTTCACAAAATATTCCTTTCTTGGAACTACTTGTTTTTTGATTTTTATTTTTTTCCAGCAGAAGCTCCGATCATTTAGAATATCCTTTACATATCTTCCCCAAGATCTCAGTCACCTCTTTTTAAAAGTCTTCTGTAACGATAACTTTTGTTTATTCCTATAAACACAAGGCTTTTAAAACCCAGTAGCCCATTGGGCGTGGATAGATGTTCTGTTTGGGAGGTGTCATGTCAACTTAAGCCAACGTCAAGCCTTCCCTTCCCAATTCTCCTACAGGCAGCCTTCTTCTTTGTTAAGGAAAAGAAAGCAAAAGGTTTAAGTGTAGAGTATATCAGTAGTCTACTAATATAACTTTTTCACATAAATAGTGTATTTTTTTATATGTGATACAATTATGTCTAAGAGATGGTCTACATTCTACATTCTTATTTCTTGAAACAAGAAATAATGGCCCATGAAGCTAGGGACAGAAGGCAAAGTACACCCAGAGCAATATAAAGAAGTTTTCTACATTATGCAAAGCATGGGGAGCTTGTAATCCTTCATTATTCATTATATTTTCTTTATCAGTTGTTGAAATTCGTTTATATAATAGATACTATAGAAAGTATTATAGCCTTCTGTTGCCCTGTGCGTATCACACACTGAAAATAAAAGTGCTTTGGCTTTATGAAGAGGTAAAGGTATGATGTTCAGTATGAACATGTGATTGAAATATAAAGGAACCCCTTCAAACAATCAAATCCAAGCCCTGTCATCAAGAAAAGAATTCTGATACTAAAATAAATAGGGTCAGGAAAACTCTTGAATGTCTTCACTCCCCCTAAATGCAAACACCTGTCATTCAGCATCAGTGCCCAGCTGGTATTAGGTATTAAAAAAAACAGTGTATTTATTGTATACACCTGTATTTTTTAGAAGAAATCCAGAAAAAACTACCCCAAACTTGGTCAGAGCAGAGCCAATCAAGTAGTTTGCTCCTTATGAATCTCTAATGAGCTTTTGGGTGCTGGGCTGCTGCGAGTCTGAATGGGCCTCTCAGTGCAGTGGTAAGCTTCCAGTTGATTTTCTGTTTTTACTGAATACATATTTTTATTTGAAGCCACTGCAAAAATTATGCCATGCTGAAAACAAGCATTCCTGGATCATGTAAACAAACAGTATAAATAAAGAAGCCAGGCCTTCAAGTGTGACTTTGTTCTAGAGGAACATTAAATGCAGTGCATCACGCACATTCACTCACAGTCACTCTCCCCACCCTCTTTTTAATTTTTACTTTCTTTCTTTTGTAGGTTTTTAAAAAAAGAATGACATAGCATAGCCCAATTGGCCATCAAACCAAAAGAAAAAAAAAAAGAAAAAAAAAAGTAACCCAACACTTTACTCAGATGTTGGAAATGCTGCAGACAGAAATTGTTAAGTCCTTAACATTTCAATCCAGAGTTGTATAATTCACATCCAGAGCTGCTACCAAGTCACGGGGGGGTGACTTAATATGTTCCCCAAAGTCCATTATGTTATCCATATCCAGGAAGATATCTGTGCCAGGGCTTTCTTGAATCAAAGCGATGTCCACCATTCTTCAACTGTGAGCCTGCTGAGATTTTTTTTTCCAGTTCCTGGCAAATAGATATCTGGCTCTAGTACATGCCAGATTGATGCACTTTGCGACTGATCCCTTAATAATATTCAGGTCTCCTAGCCCCAGAACACAAAAGCTCAGCAACTGCACAGATATCTACCTCCAATATTTTTTTTTCTGATAAAAAAATAAAATCTTATTATCTTCCTCCCTTAAAATGCAATAATTATCTCATGCTACCCTCCTCACAAAAAATATTTGATTCCTCTTATATAGGACTAGCAACAAACAGATTTATTTTTAGTTTTATTGAATGTAGGGAAAGACTATGAATGAAGGAGAGAGTGGGGGAGGGAGGATGTGTTTTACACTTGGGGACTACATTACAACTATGCAATATTTTCTGATACATGTATTCATATTAAGATGCCCTGCATGACTTCAATGTTTTCTACAACATACACTGCTACTACTCTTAGGTCATGTCTGTGTGTGGAGCCATTTTCCAGCTCTGAATAAAGATTCCAAGGGTATAATTAATAAAGAGGTTAACAGTGATCTACTGCAAATAGTGTTTTTCAGAAGTCAAGATCTAAAATGAACAGCTCGGTCTGGCTTGATTTCTTATGTTTTTATTGTTTTACGCCCATGAGACTAAATGGATAGAACTATTATATCATATTGTGCTGTTGTATAATGTTTTAGTTGCAACATCATGATATATTAATACATACCCACACTTCAGACTTGAGCAGTTCTTTTAACCTGAACAGATGAGATCTAAACTTTTTTTTCAGTCCTTTTTGATTTATGAACCCCTACAAATTGCCTACGAAAAGTATAGCCCCCTTAGTATTTCCATGTGCAGAGATTGCTACCTAGTATCTGTGAAACATTTTTTCTTAAAGTATTATTCATATAGGTAGCCAAAAAGCTGCTGGAGTCTCTGGGTCAGTGACTGAGAACATTTTCTGAGACCTTCCATGTTAATTAAACAGCAAACCCCTTCCCCATTAGGTCAGCAATACCTTGACTTTACAAAGGTGCTTGCACAGGGACAGAGAGAATCATTGTCTTCCCAGGAACGCCCTCACAGACAGAAACTTTGCATGGGACACCACATTTCCAGACGCACTTGTTAACCTTCAGTCTTCTTGAGATGCCATATATCTGTCAGCGTGAACGGTGGGTGGAGGCATACAGTGATCGGAAGGGATTCTTGCAAATGAAGTCACTGAGCATGTGCCTACGATGTGGATTCATGGGGAATCCTATGTGGTATTTCCAGTAGTAGCAAGATTTTTCAAACTCTAACCAAGTTTGTTTCCCGTTCTTTGGATGATATAAAAATCAGTGCATTAAAGATGTTGTGGGTTCCTTCTTCTTTCTTTCCTTTTTTTTTTTTTTTTTTTGTTTGTTTGTTCTTTTGTTTTTGTTTTTGGTATTTGTTTATGATATGTGAAGAAGGCTCAAAAATTTTAGTCAAAGCTATTTCTTCCCTGCTTGTTTGCATAGCTAGTATAGGTCTTATCTTTCACAGCAGACTACATTGCCACTGGAAAGTTAAAAAAAAAAAAAAAAAAAAAAAAAAAAACAGGACAGCCCATTAAGTGAAGATCAGAAGTTGAACAAATTGGGAAGCTACTTTTCATGGAACTGTTAAAATCATCTGGTTTTGCTTATTTGCTCTTAAACTATAACCTTGTGAAATGTCTGAGATTAAATCACTGTTAAAGTTTCAGCCCTAGTGCCCTTCCATTACAACGTGTGAGAGTTCCCCAGGCACATTCTGAGATAAGTCTGGACTATTTTTGTTAGAATAGTTAGTGCATTCAGAGCAACTTGTTCCAGTGTAGATAAGGCAAGTGGTGCTTTATGATGTACTAGCTAGTCTTGCTGAAGTGTGTGTTACAACATGCTGAGTATCACTTCCTTGTCTGCATTGTCTACAGTGACAATTTGGACTAAATTGGGACTTTAAACTTTCTTTTTTTTTTTTTTTTAATCTTTTACAGTGCTCAAGTCAAACTGCTACAGACACCAAGATGGTCTCCAGCACAGGGATGCCCAAACTGTGCTCAGCAGACCTAAGGCTATGTGAGGATGGTTGGCCTGATGAACTAATGTTCATTTCCATTTTTGAGGAATGCGGCTGATGAAAGTAAGATAAAACTAAGAGCAAAAGAAAAGCTTAAGGAAGTCAAAAAAGCATGCATATTTTTATAACAATTCTTCCGTGCATTAGTGGCTGTACCAGCAACAGAGGTATAATGTGATCTGCGTTGAAAAGGAACAGGACTTGACATTGAGTGAGAAAAGAAGTCACAGTATGATCTCTGTGTGGTGGTGTTATCAAAAGTACTGAACAAACAACATGGTGAGCAGTGGGACTCGAGGTGGGACACCTTTCCTGCACAGGCTTTCTACTGCCTGGCACCCATACTGCTCTCTCCGTATGGACCTTTCCTCAGCTGATTTGGACATCTCTTGTAGTCATTAAGTTGGAGAACATAAATATTGTTGGTGTCTCAATCTCTTGTTATATTCAGCTGAAGTTGATCTATGGTTACAAATGTTAGAGCGAGATGAGGTGAGCCAGCTTTCTTCAAGAAGCCAAGATAAAAGGGGTAAGACTGTCAGCCAAAAAAATAGGGAAAGTTAAACTTCACATATCTCTCTGATGAAAAACAAGCACAATATATCTTTCAGAAAGAAAAACAAAACAATGGTGCTCTGTGTTGTTAAGCATTTTACAGATACTTGTAAGAGTTCTGGTCAAAGTTATTCTAGAATATCACATATTCTCTTGCAGTAATGTTGATGCCAGTTCCAATGAGTGTATCCCAAATGTGACAATCTTGAATCTTGGCCTTTTTTGTACAACCACAGTTCTGTCAGAGTATCAGAGTGCTTTCTTTGTTTAAAAAAAAAAAAAAAAAAAAAGGAAATGTCTATCCTTTATGGTCTCTATGGTCAAGATTTCAGCTAGGCAATGCAAACATGAGTATACTAGAAACTGGCTTAATACACCAGACAATAAATTTAGGGCAAAGAAACAAAGATGCTGTTTCTGTTTTCCGCTGACATTTCTTTCCTTGTACAAAGTAACTTCATCAAAAGCAGGGTTCAGCTCTTCGGGATCTAAAACTTCGGCGCCTAGTCTCTGCCAGTCCTTCAGGCACTCTCCGCAGTCAATGGAGCAAGACCAGTGCCACAGCAAGGTGAGTCATCTCACAATGGACATATTTTAGCTAGCTGGGATGAGTCACTGTCTGGAGATGTTTGGGCCTCTTTATTTGCTGGCTCAGATGGCCAGCTGGAAGCCAGGTAAATATTCTCTGACATGTTACTGCTACAGCATTAGACTTTGTCACTGCCTTATCCTGCAATTCGCACGTTATAAACCTATATATAAGTTATTCACATGTTATACTCTGTTATACTGTGTCCCACAGACACCAGGGAGGAGAACTTAAAGACGTGAGGACCTGCTCAGTCATGGGCAAGAGAATTGCATGAAAAGGAAGGGCAGCTACTGATAATAAAAGGGCAATATGAGGTGATAATGTTTTATAATATTGTTTGGTGGGAGATGGAGCAAGATGCATTTGAAATAGGAGTGTGGTGCCATTTTTTTCCCAGGGAGGGTAACGAACAACCACTGGTACAAAACTTGCCTACAGTGAAAGGGGATTTCTGACTTGAAGTCTTTAAAATGAGGCCAGATGTCTTTCTAAATGAAGTATTGTAGCTCAGCTAGAAATGACAAGCTAGAGGCAGGAACCACTTGTTGAAATTCAATGACCTCTGTAATACAGGACCTCAGAGCTGAAGATCACCATGGTCTTGTAAAAATCCTACTTTTATTTATTTGTACTAAAGTAGTGCTCAGATCCAAATAACATCTGCTCTTAGGAAAAAAAAAAAAAAAAAAAAAAACACTACATTTTAAAATTCTGTGTTAAAACTGGTGTTGCTATTTTCTGCTAAATATTGTACATATACTTAATAAAAATAGATAGTCCCTGCCAAAAGAGCCTATTACCTACATTTTCAAATATAAACATCTAGCTTTGCGCACAGAAAGAACCTGATGGATTTCGTTAACAGATTCATGCACACAGGACCTAATTGGTGCAACAAGATTTCAGGGCATGTCATGTAGCTGAGGCTAAGAAGACAGGTTTCTATGGAAGCTCCCTGGATGTTCTGAGTTGGCTATTGATGGTCATTGACAACAGCACTTATTTGTCCAGACAGGAGCATCTCACAGTTTGATTCTGTGGGCTTTTGGTTATCCTCCCAAAGGGAGCTGTGAGAGTTCATCACTTTTCAGGTCTGAAACCAGGAGGAAGGAAGGAATTTCATATTCTTTCAGGACTGTACACCATTGCCTTACAAACTTTCCTGTAATTGTCCAGTACTGCATCAGTCAACGTTCAGCCATAAATCATGTTGCTCCTATAGTGCCACAGAAAAGTATGCAAAATGGGCTGCATGTAGTATTTTAGGTATGCTCTCAGCTCCTGCCTGGGCACACACAAACAAAGAGAATGAGCTGCAGGGCACATGTATGTTGCTAACAATCTGCACAGTTCTCCTGGGCCCTTCTGGGCATGGGTATCTTGTGTCCAGGCCACCAAAGGAATCTAGAGGCTGGTGTTACTATATGGTCTCTGCTCTCTTCTGCCTCACTCTAGCAAAATTACTGTCTGGCTGTTTTGCTTCAGCTCCCTGCTCCTTAAGAAGGAGGCTAAGCTAAGAAGGTTGGCAAAGCGGAGAGGGAGAAGACGGTGCCTCAGGCAGGGAGTGGAAATGCCAACTCTACCACAATGCCTTGAATGCCAGAGTTTGTCTTCCCACAGATGGAGGAGATGTCCTAAGGGTGTTGTAGCCTGAAGAGTTACAGTGGTTCTCCATACCACCACGAGTTGTTGTAAAACGGGTGAACAGAGTGGGTGTGTATAGGCCTGTGCCTCAGGTAACAGCAGATAAAATTAACTGTGTTTCTGCCTGCTAATGCTGGAGCCACCCTTCTTCCTCACCCCTTTCTAATTTGAAAAAGAAAAAAAAAAAGTACCCAATTAATTTTTACATCTACCAAATGAAATCCAAACATGGTGTATTTTCTGTGAAATATGTGCTGACAACAATCTTTTATTTGTCCTTTGGTTTGAAATTCCAACCTCCTTTCAGGGCAGGACAAAACAAAGCTCTGTAGGATTAGGGTCACGGAAAGGAGCTAACAGGTCCCGGAGACCAAAATGGTAGAGGAGGAGAGCAACTCCCTGGCTTTACTTTTGCAGAAGCATACATTTTGAAAGAGAAGGCAAGTCAAGAAAGACTGAAGAGCAGAGGGCAAGGAGAAATGCCCCGAGATCTATGGCCTCTTCCCAGTCTAGTAGGTGAAGGATGTTTGGAATTACTGCTGTTACTTTATTCCTCCTACACATGCCTCCCAAAGTGCCTGCAGGTCCACCTCTTTCTGCTTCATGTTTGTAAGGATCTAGTCAAGGACAGGGGGCCCGGACGACGTCTCTGCTGGCACTAATTGCAATACTTCAGGCTGCAATAATTTTCCCAGAAAGTACCCATGTGCCTGCCAAATGCGCCTCTCTAGAGGCACTATCTAGAGACACCAGCAGCAGACAGAGCCTCTGATGCAACAAATCTTGGAAGCACCCCTGAGATTTAGGGAGAGCACTTGATGTTCCTGCTATCCTGATTGTTTTGGATAGCTCATTGTCACCTAATTGTACTGTAGGAAGGTCTGTCCATTCCCTCCTGTCTGCTTATTTATGCCCTCAGGCTACGTAAAGACTGCATGTGCCTGAAACAACAGCCAACCACAAAGTCTCCAGTGCCACTCTTTTGGTATGCACTAGCTCAGATGCCTTGTTGCAAGGAAAAAAAAAAAAAAAAAACTCCTCTGTTGATAAATGGCAGCATATTTTACAGAGAGAGAGAAAGAGAGGCAGACTGCTCTGCTCCTTCAGCAGGACCCTGTCTGTCTCACTCCTGGGCTGACTTGAAGCTGCTTGATGCAGCCGGGAGGCCTTTGCCAAATGACACGGAGAAAAAAGAAGACATAAGCTTCAGCAGCTGGTGGAAGAAAAGGAAAGGCCAAAACAACCTTTAAAGAAGAAGTATTAATCAGAAAAAGGATTCACTAGGAAATAGTAAAGTATTTAAATAGGATGCAGTAAATGCATCTATTGGAAATGGCTTGGTCAAGCTGTTAAGATAATTTTAAGGAAATGTTAAAAAGGATTTCCCTGAGAACTTTTTTACTTATTTGTACTCTAATCGATCAATTATTAATTAATATGATTGGAAACTTTATGTGGCAGGGGCTTGTTTGCACATGTAGTGGCATAATGCTGGCTGTGTGCAAAATGTTGGTTAACAACTGCTTTCCTGGGGAAAATAAACCGTGCGTTCCTCTATTTTTGTATAGGATGAAAATCTGCATTCGTGCCTCCTGTCACTCCCAGGAGGAGTGAACTTCTCGTGGAAGTGCGGCTGCTAGCCTGCAGACCTGGCTGAGGCCTGGGCTGGGTGTTTGACTCTGGCCTCGCAGGAAACACAGCAGCCTTTCACTTCCTGTCCTAAATTAAAACTTCCTTTCTCAGGGAAAATGGCATTATCTCGGTCAGCCTCCATTCACCCTTACGGGTGCCTTATGATGGTGGCCATAGGCTGTGCTGAAGTATTTGGGATAGAAAAAAACATGGGGCAAGAAACAGTGGCTGTACTGAGGAACATGGAGCCTATTAGAACTGATGGGGAGAAAAACGGAGGCACAGGGAAATGCATTGCCTCGCTTCTGAGACAGCTCAACTGGGACCTGGATGGGACTGCAGCTCTGTGGTAGACAGACATAGGTTCTTCAAGAGGCACAGAAAAGGAATAAAAGCAAGGAGTTACCTTCTCCATGAAGGAGTGGTACAAATGTATGGGAACAGGAGACAGGCTGCTTGGGAACGCATGGGTCAAGGGCAGAGGAGACACCAGTAAGGGTAATGCTGTGGTGGGTTTGTTACAGGCCACACTCATTCAGCACAAGGAAGTCAATTAATTCTTTAAGCAATTAGAAGTCTCCAGATCACAGCCCATGATGCTGTGTGGAGACTTTAACGGTCCTGAATTCAGCTGGAAGGACAAGACAGTGGGCTGCAAGAGGCCCAGAAGATCTCTGGAGGGTGTTGAGGAAAATTTCTTTAACGCAAATGGTGTGTGGACAAGGGGAGTGGGTTGGGGTGTAGAAGTCCACTCAACCTACTCACAAGCAAAGGAGAATTGGACAGGAGTGTGATAATCATTGGCACTGTTGGCAGTAACAACTACAAAGTAGTGGAAACTATGGTCCTGGCTGGAGTGAAGATAAGTAGTGGAGCACAAACATCGGCCTTCAGGAGGTCAGGCTTTGGCACCCAAATTAAGAGAGCCTGAATGGGTGGACAACTTGACACATAAACGACTGTTTGGAGGACCAGGCTCAATGGATAGTGGCTAACAGGTGGAACCCCTGGGTATCAGTGGCTGTTGGAGCACTGCAGGGGCCTGTCCTCTTTGACATTTGTATCAATAACCTGGAGGAGGTCTCATCACATTTGCAGATGACAGCAAATTGGGGGGATCAGCTGACATGCTCTGGGGCAGGGCTGCCATCCAGAGGGACCAAGACAGGCTGGAGGAATGGATCAACAATAACCTTA